AGTCTCATTAAAAGTAAAAAAATAAAGAAGCAGCTTACATACGTCTTACTACTGAGTACTGGGCTGCTAATTAACCGTGTGCATAATGGCTTTTCACATGCTCACTAATTATTTTTAAAACTACTCAGACATCAAGATTTCGCCGCGAAGTTAATGGGTGCGTTTGGCAGAAAAAAGCGTTGCTAGCGCTTATAAGCGCTAAAATAGTTTTCGGCCAGGACACGATTGCTACTTCAGTAGCGCTGACACAATCCGCCATTTTGCTTATTTAATTTGTTTGTTTTGAAGTAGAGTTTATAAGTTGTTTTGTGCAATATTAGTTTTAAGTAATATAATGACATGAATAAATATATACATGCTATTAAAAACTCATGATTGGTAAGTTTTTAATATGAATACTTTACAAACATATATTTAAATTAGGTTAGATTCCCCGCTTAAAACTAACATCGTGTCCTGGAGGAAAATAGCTACTTACGATTTGACAGCGCTTACCGCTTACGAACGCCATTTTGCTTACAAGCGCTTGCTAGCGCTTTTTTCTGCCAAACGCACCCATTCTTTACCACTTCACTGAGTGATTTGTCGTAATTGTAATAATTAATCATCCCAACAAGGACGATCGGTCTGGATATTTTAAGTTTGACAATTTTTGATGCTGCAGGAATAAGTGTATTCAATAGAATTCTCTTTAATTTGATCAGATACTTGTTATAATTTTTTAGCAGTAAGTAGATGGCGCTATTGTGAGATTTAAACTATGGAAACCAAAACTGTACCCTTTAGTACTCAGCGACAATAATTTGAGGTGCGAATGGTGTGGCCCAATCACACAACAAAGCCGCTAACATTTATATGAAACATTAATTAGGCATAAAATGATGTAGATTCTATTAAATTTTTGCTTCTGTCAAGGCATATTAGCGCTGCTTGCGGTGTGTAATGAAATTATTTTACGATATAACAATATTATGAAGAAATAGCAATGTTGTGTTTAGTTGTTAATATCGCCAAACGATCTTTATTCATTAATTTGGTCAAACTATACAAACATAATATAACTATATAACGATATAGTCAACAAACAGTGTTAAATTTAATGAAATCCCTAAACACAATTTTACTCAATCACGGACTACTTTATGATATTATTCATTAGATACGAAGATCTGGCCAATACAAATATAAAGATATCTTTATTTAAACCATAATTGTCGAGTTTTGCAATAATTGCAGTTTTTATCAGATTATTTTTAGATTAAAAATTAATAAGTACTAAAACTTTTTTATGTATTTTTATTTATAAATAATATTAATTATTTAAAATCACATATATAATTTAAAATAGAAATTAACATCTAAAGAAAGGAAAATACTTAAGCTTCCTTTTTTGAAGTTCCGTAATCGGCTAAAAAGTAGCCTATAAGTTGCCCCCGATCCCTAATTACCTACACGCAAAATTTCAGGGAAATCTGTCATGTAGTTTTTGCATACAGACTGACAAAAACTATAAAAATCATTAATTTGGCTTTAGTGCCCTTTATTTAGTCCCCTAGACTTGGTTTTTACAGACAATATTAGAATTACAGACACGACTTTTCTACAGAATTATTATATGTATAGATTATTAAAGAAAATATAGATTCTTTGTCACAATAGCGAATTAAGTAGAATGATCTTTATCAGTAAAAAAACTGGTTGTCTGTAAAGTCGGTTTACGGACGATAGTTTAACGTGACAACGTCATAACAAAACATTGATGAAATGATTGCATACTTTTATGAATAAAATTGAATTATTTTTATTGAATTTTCACTATTTTATATGGTTACAAAGGAGTGAAATGAAATCTACATTGGCTCCGATTGTGCATTTCGCTCGTTCGTGCCGCGCTCTCGCTACGATCGTGCTCGGTTTGGCTGGAGCGAATGCAGTCGGCGTTCGTCGATTTATTAGACGTTGTCAAGTCAAAAAAAAATTTCGGTATCTGTCACTGTCATTTTGCTGCTATTCGATATTGGTATTGCGATGCGCGGTAGGTACAGTAGTTAGTTATTTAGAAATTGCCACAAAGTTAGTTAGTTTACTAAAATGGAAATGAGCGTAATACAATAAATCTATGGTTACACGGGTAGTCTGTGCCCAGTAATAATACAGACGCTACCGGTACCTATACTAAAAATTATGTAAAGAGCAACTATAGTCCGAAATTTCTAATTCCATGGACGGTCGCTAGCTAGTATTAGCAGCAATTACACTTTACACAATTTTGATATCCATTCAGTTCAGAGAGAGTTATAGATAATATTAAATTATAGGCTTCAGATTATAGATATTTAAAAAAAGACTTTTAGATCGCTAGGTGTAAAGAAGCCTCGGTCGGCAATTCGCCACACAAGGTTAATTATTTTTTTTTCTTGTAGCCTAACTTTTGATAAGTTTTGATGACACATAATAACATCGAAATACTCATCAGTCGAGTATTTTGAAACGGGGCCTTCTTTGCTACTTTTTATTAATCGATTGATAACATTAAAGTAATAAAAACATTTATAGGTATTGTAGTTAGCCTGCGTTACAAGAGATAGTTAATTCCGGTTATTACTCTTTTAAAAGCGTTTAAAAATTTCATTTATTTTATTCCTGAATCCTTTAATTTACTTACAAGAAAAGCTTGTTACTTCACATTTGGAATTAATACTTTTTACGTGTGCAATATTTAATTTTCCTTATTTTCGTACTTGTTGCATTATTCTTGGCCTTGTCGTTTAAACCGTAGTGAAAGTAGAATACGTACGTGTAATTACTCTAAGAGTGAAACATATTATATTATCATATATGGTAATCCATCAAATAATGTCATCATATCAAGAGCAATTTCTTATTTGCTCTAGTATAATATAAATATTAAGGGCTGACTTTTCAATCGGATAAAAGTTGATTAAAAACATAAAATTTATAATTATTGTACGAATAATTTTATACGTGGTAGAGCCATGCTGCAGTTATATTAGTAGTATAGTTGTAGCACGAATGGATCGGCTCGACCGGGGAAGGACCACGCTCTCACAGAATACCAGCGTGAAATAGTAGCTTAATGCTGCTGTATTTCGTATGGTGAGTGTAGAGAACCGGTGACCCTTTTTACTGGAAACGAGGCATTCCATCTTAGTCCTCACGGGTGACAACGCATCTGCATTTTGATTCGTAATCGAGGATAGATGTAGATGACTATGGGCCACAGCAACCACTTACCATCAGGTGGACTGTGTGCTCGTTTGTCACCCTATCCTATAAAAAAAAAAAGAATAAAATAGTACAATTGTTTATTTTCAGGTTAATAACCTAAAAATTAACAATTTTCAGGTTATTAATAGGTTAACTATTTTTTAGGTTATTATACTAATTTTATTTGATGGATAACTTTCATCTTATAACTGAAAAATCGGTCCTCAGAAGGTAATTTTAACTTTAATTTGATTTTAACAAGTGTAGCAGTAGTATAGTAGCTAAGTAGTATACGGAGGATATATTCAAATCCGTGGAATTTTATGCCGTGATGAAGAATGATGAAGCGAGATAAGGTATGACAATATTACAACATAAATTTAATACATGAATAAAACGACATTCCATTAAAATAAAACAAATCAAAGCACGTGTCAGAGTAAATCTGAATTAATGAAATCAAACTGAGCTTGATCTTGATATTCAAGATATTAAAAGCCCATATCTCGAGCATTAATTTACTCACAGGAGCGCCTAATGATTCGTAATTACGTCCGACGTAATGGACGCCGGTGATGGCGGGATGGTCCGCCCCAAGGCTCGCAACCTCCATTTTGAGTTCTTTTTTTTAGAACGCAGTACAGTTGACTCAGACTATGCTCTCAGTTCGATCAAGCTCTCACTAGTGAATTATTTTATATTGAATACTCAAAGAATAAGTATTTGTTTTATTAAAAACACAATGTTTTAAAATTAATCTCCCGTTAAGAGCTTTAATCTATAATAGTTTTTTTAAGTAACTCTTTATAAAGGAAAGTTTTTATTGAAGGAATAACACCTATCTGAAAAAAACTTTAAAAATTTAAATAGGTAGATAGGTGTAAGCATATGTAACCTTTTTTCTAACGCCGCGCGAAGGTTTTTACACGTGGTAGAGCCACGCTCCAACTATATTAAGGTTGTAGCCTTTGATTATATACTTGTCAAAGGTTGTATAACATGAATGGGTCGCCTTAAACAGGTAGGCACTAGGCAGCATAAGGTTAGAGAGTGTAGAGAAACGGAGATCCTTTTTACTCAAAACGTCTGCAGTTTGATTCTTCTTAATTGGGGATAAAAATGAAGATTGTCTATAAATCACAGCATTCATTTACCATTAGCCGGATTTTGCTCGTTTATTAGGGGAGTTGGGGGAATTGGGAGTCACTTAAGGAAAACTCGTTATCATAATCACTAATAATCAGTCTTATAATTTGTTCACTTTTATTTATCTTTAAAAACTATTTAGGTATCGAGTTACTTAAGTATGTTTAGTTATAATTACCATAAACGTAATTATAATTAAAAAACCAAAAAGTTGTTTTGCCTCCAATTACCCACATGTAAGGGGAATGAAAGTCAGTCTATGGGGGATAAGAGTCAAAATTATAAATAAAAAAGTAACAAAGCTCTTTAAACAAACAAGAATTAACAAAATTAAAAGTTAGAAATGATTACCCAATGGAATCATAACAAAGAATAGAATGTAAATCGAGTTAAATGCAAAAATCACAGCGATAGCGACTTGGATCATCACATTCTGTACATGCCTCATGGGCCCATCCAGGACAGAGACGCAACGGTATCAGATTTCTCTCGGTTTTCCCTCTTCGAGGCATATCGTGCACACAGACTGATCACGCTCTTTCTGAGTGTTTTTCTGGATGTTTAGCGGGATTTAAATATTTTCTACTCGTAAGTCACTACCACTCTCATCATACGGAATCCGTTCATCAGCCGAAATAATACTTAAATAAGTTCTTTTTTACTTCTTTTATCTTCTTAATGACTTTGCCTCTTGTATGCTTTTCTTTTTTCTTTCGTTTCTTAGCTTTTTCTTTAAAAACTGTTATCAAAGGTGTGGCAGTAAGAATTCCTGATTGTCGTGTTCTTTTTCCTTTGCATTTACCTTTTCCAATGCAAGGCAGAGGTGTTAGTTGTGAAAGTTTGCTAGCTAGAGGTTCACTGTAGGATTCATTGTTCTCTTGATTTATACTATCATTTGGTTTATAATTTGTAATATCATCACTTGTGGAAGGTTGGGGTCCTATAACGACTAACTGCTTGTTGATGCTGTTGCTTCTGAAATGTTAGTTGAATGTTTATCTGAAACTTCATTAACTCTTAAGTCTGTTATGGTGGCAGAAATATTTTCAACACAGAGAACATCAGAGGATTTAGTCACATCGGTTTTATTAAATCCTGTAATTCTCTACAGCTTCAGCTTTTCGAATGCTTATTCGTGGATTTCTCTTAAGAAATCCTTAGATCCAGTCCCTGCCAGCCATTCTTGCATCTCTATTAAAATTATGAGATAGCATTAAATTTTCAGCACATTGAAATGTTATTTTTCTTAGTTGATTTGCCGTTAAACCATGAAACATATTACTTAATTGTGTTTTACAATTAAGTAATATGTTCTGTAAGTATATTTTATTGCTCTTCGTTAAAAACGGCATACCTTCCTAATTTTGGAAGTTTAAATTCATATTTCTTTATCCCTCTTTGTAATGTGCTGAAACGAATACCATTTTTCTCGGCAACTTTGTGCATTGACACGCCTTGTCTAATGCGTACAGCAGCTGCCTGCAAGTCGCTTACAGTCCAACCCGCTTTAGAGGTCTTTCTAGTCCAGTTCCTTGGCATCTGAAATTAACAAAAATGTTTTATCGTAATGAAAAACGATGCGGGGAATGAGGGTCAACTAACTCTCATTACCCCAATGACGGTTTGTTTGCTAGATTTGAATTATTAAATAAAAACACCAGAAAATATAATAAATTGCATTAATAAACATAAGTTTAGTCCCAGTACTACACTTTAAGATTATTTTATACGCAAAAGTAACAAATATAGATACTCACGTTTTCAATCGAATTTTCTAAAATTTTACAACGGTTCCTCCTCAGTGACACATGTGTCGCTACCGGTGACGCGAGCGTGACTGGCGGGCCGGCATATTGGCCAGTAAAAGAGGGGTGCGGAGCTACATCCCATGCGACAGAGCTATATTCTGTAAATCTTTAGTTTCAATTAATTTTGAACTGACCCGCATTGCCCACTGACTACCATTCCCCCTGGCTCCCCTACTCCCATTCTATAAAAAAATCTCGGATCCCTAATCGGAATCCCCAGATGTTAACGAACTTCGTATTTAATTAGATATATATTTCCGTGTCCCACTCTAATAACTTGGTGCTTGTTGTAGATTATAACAAAGAATTGTTAAACTCATTTCAGCCTACAGGTCTTGTAAGAGTTGAATAAGTTAGAAAATAGAGAACCTTCGATCGAAACGAAACATTGCGTATTTTAGCTACGAATCCGTCTGTCATGTCATGTCATCATGGCAAATATTTACAACTGAAAAACGATCAAGACTTCTGAGTCTTTTTATGTTAGAAGGATATATTTCTCGAAATACTTAGACAAGAACGTGTACAAAAAACATAAGCAGAGACGTGAGAGACCCCCAATGACCATGGGTACAGCAAATTACTCAAAACATCAGGAATTAAAAATAATTAAACAAAATAAAATCTATACCTAATACAAAGTAGTAAGTATAGGTACTTAAATCTTTTAAAATGTGTAAAATTCTGTTTGACAGGCATCCGCTAAAATCTGTCACTATTAAAAATGAGATTCCATTGTCGCCAAAGTTTGTTACCAAAATTTGCTAGTAATACTGTCTCAACTCATAAACAGTGATTTAAAAATATAATTTAGGTTAAGTATTGTTGAAAATATTTTTGCCATCAAACAGTTGCCTGTTTCACAAAACAACAATCTATCCTGAGATGAATGTTCACTTAGGAAAATAAATAGGGTTTTCAGGTAAAGTTCTTACTTAATTTAAATTTAACACTTCTCTCTTAACTTTGAATACCATCGAAATACAATCAACAGAGTTAAGCTCAGTAGTAAATAATGCCTAATCCGTAAATTAAAAAAAAAAACTCCGCTAAGACGAATGCGGAGCGAATAAAACGCGCTCCCCCTTCCCCCCACACCTCAACCATTACTCCATTTGCGCCTTTATAATGCGTCCAGCGCGGTCGCCGATAATTTTGATGTTTTTTGTAGGTTCAACTTGATTATGTCGCGGCTGATTGCGGCTAGAGTTGCCAAATGGTCGGGATTTGTCTGGATTCTCCCGACATTTTAAATCTCTAGACTCCCGACAAGACCCAAAATCTCCATACAAACACCTTCTCTTCATATCACAGCTGCCTTTAATTTAATACACGCTGAGTTAGTAACTTGACTAAACTTTAAAGGTAATTGTTTAAATTTACTAATTAGAATACCACTTAAAGATCCAATTTGGTGGAGTCGGTAAAGTCCAATATCAAATACAAGTGACAACCTAAAAATTAAGTGTACTCGTACTTAAATTAGAAGTTCTTTTTTGTAGTCTATTCATTTAAAAAATAAACTTTTTATTTTACATTTTTATTTTTAATATTTATTTTTCCCGGCAACCCCAAAAATCCGACATTTTCAAATTTTGTCCAGATATTTTGCTCTTCTAACCTGGAATACCTATTGTGTCCGATACGTACGTCTACAGATCTGTTCCACGTGAACTAACGTGAAACACGGAAATTGTATCCGTTATTAGTTACCTTTACGCATTGATTTATATAACACTAGATCAGTAATAACCGCGCCAAAGCGTTGCCACTGCACATATGGCCACAGCCATATGCCTAGCTAACGTGAGTTCATTGTTCAATGTGAGGCCGACAGAGTTGAACCGCGACAAAAATGGGTAAATGCGTAGTGAAAGAATGCTATTCAAGGTCACAAAAACGTAAAAAATCAAGCGGAATCACTTTCAACACATAATTTTTAGTTCTTGTTTTCATATAAACGTAAAAAACCTCAAATAATTAAATAAAATTATCGAATATTGCCGTTTAGGTTCAATGTTGCCACTTTTCCGCATTTGTGATTATCCTACATTAATGGGAGACTATATAATTAATGGAGTAAGTTAATTTGTTATCTCTGATTTTAAATATTTTGGAAATTATAATAAAAACTACGTTTTAACTTTCATACAAAATAATTAATTATTCTTATTTTAGTTTATTCATGAATTATCTATTAAATATATTTTATTACCCATTTTGTATTAATAATTTTATATTATTTATAATTCATATAAATTTTATATTAATTATATTTTATTAGATACTTATTTTATATTGTTTGATTTATTAGTACCATAAAATTACGTTTTATTTCATCATTATGTTTACTTCCATTCATCTGATAAACTTTGTATCCCTTTTTTTCTAAGGGGACGTAATAAAGATTTTAAAATAAAATATGCTTTTTTTAATATAAAAACAATTAACTGCAGCTTAAAAAACCTCATTTTTATTGCGTATATTAGGTAAAATTTCATATAGTAAGCCACACCAACCCGCCATTGCATGTTTGTGTGTCTATCTTTATCTAATCTTACGACGACGATATTGTTTTCGCAACTTGTGGAAGTGAGATAGATATATGTTTACTTAAAATTGTTATTAGTTTCAAAGCTACGTCGTCGCGTTTGGATAGTGGTTACACTTTTTTCGACGCGCGGTAATGTGATTTGCTCCTCTAGTGTTGTATAACTCAATGCCTTTACGTCGCACGTTTGTCTTGATCTTAGCGTCGTGTCTTGATATTCTTTCAGATTTTAATTAATGTATTGAGTGCCATTCCACCCAGGATTGTATTTTTTTAATTTTTATAAGGCAGTGCTTGAGTTTTTTTTTTAAGAATAAGGGTGACAAACGAGCACACAGTCCACCTGGTGGTAAGTGGATGATGTGACATCTACATTCATCCTCGATTAAGAATCAAAACGTATGCGTTAGAGCCCAACGGATTAGTAAGCTGAAGTGGCAATGGGCTGGCCATACAGTTCGAAGAACCGACAAATGATGGGGAAGAAAGGTTCTCGAGGAGCTCGTGCGGCAGGGTAGTGTAGCGCGACCCCCCACTAGATGGAGTCAGATGGTGAGATATGCAGGAAGTCGATGGATGCAGTGGCTCAGGACCGTGCTTTGTGGCATCACTTGGGGGGGGGGGGGGTTTGGAGGGCCTCCTACCGATCATAAATCATTTATTTGCCTGATTTATAGTGGGTACACCAGATGTGTTAAATTAAGTAATAGCACAAGACATATTACACCCTCATTACGGGCATGCAAAATTATAGTTAATTTACAACAATTATTTAAATAAAATTACAATTTATAAGAACTATTTGAATTACAATTTTTACAATCTTTTAAAATTCAAATATTTGAATTACAATGGTTACAATTATTCAAATTATTGAATTATTATAATATACTAAGTCATAGGAAATAAAAGGAAGAGCCGGTATCTCAGTGGGCAACAAATCGGCATGTGCATTTATTCAAAAAATCTTTAATAGTGTAGAAACTCTCCTAAGACGGAACTCTACTAAGAAAGAGACCCTACTAAGAACTCTATCACTAGAAACTCTACTAAGCCTAGATGGAGTGACGGTATGGCAGAGGAATTTCTTTGGAGGAAGCCTATGTTCAGCGGTGGACTTGTAAGGGGTTGTAATGATGATGATGATGATGATGTGTGAGTTCGTATTAGGACCGCTATAACGACTTAAAGTAGGACGATGGTAACTGAAAGACCTATTTTCCAATCAGACTTATAGGCAATAGTATTAAATAAAGTAGTAATAAAGTAAAAATTCAATAAAATAAAAAGTCTTCTATTTTTCTATCACTGTCCTAAGCTATCGCGAGATAGTTGATAGGGTGAAGGGGTGAGGGGGGGGACACATGACTCTAATAAAAATACTAATTTAATGCTAAATATTTCGCAAACGGATCTCTGAATTGAAAAAATGTTCATACCCGCAATATTTTTGAAAGACCTATCCAACGACACCCCACACAATGGTATAGAAGGGTAAAAAGAACATCCTCCTTATACCGAAAATAAATATGTTTTCCATAATTTTATTTCACAATTTTGTTGGCATGATTAATATTTATAACTATGCCAAATTACAAATTTGTAGCACCTAGGGTCTCAGAGTAAAACCGCGGACGAGCGGACGGACATGGCGAAACTATATTAAGGGTTTCTTGCTGTTTAACTCCAGAACCTTATAAAAAAGATGGTAATAAGAGAGTCGCGGTTTCTGATCAGACAATTTCTAGACAGTTATCTCGTTTGTCATTTTAATATTAAAATAATAGTGCCTAAATAGCTGTTTAGTTATAAAGTGATCTCGCAAGTACTTTTTCTCTGGATACCGAAATATCTTTGTAAGACTTTTATAACCGATTTTCACTTTAGAACCTTATAAATAAAAACTAGTTTAAACACGAGTACAAGAGAGAGATACTCGTATGACTCGTACCTTGCTATTTAGTCAGATATCGATGGACAGAAACTCACCAAGATGATTCCGTCGATAAAAAATGTGCTGACCTCACTAACTCTAACCGTGGTTTTATGGAGTATGAGACGCTCTGGAATGGACGTCAGAAAATTTAAGTGTTCATTAGGATTTTAACTTTTTATAACTTTATGCATTACTAATATGAATCTGGTAATACCAGTAAATTAGTGCTTGTTTATCGATTTTT